CAGGAATCCCCCCCTCTGCCCTCATGGAAGCCACCTGCCACCTGTCCTCACCACCCCCACTCTGCCCAGGGCACCTTAGGATGAAGCTGCCAGGCGAAGAGAAGCGTGGCCGACACACGGCTGAATTTGGCTTGTGCGTTGAGTGGCTGAGTCACATCCCCAAATTGCATCTTCATCGGTGTGTTTCCAAAGGTTGTCTGCAGAACCCCCACCCCCTCCTGGTCCTGTCGGCCAGGCCACCCACCTCTCCTGCCTGTGCCCCCCAAGAGGCCTGGACAGGGACCTGTATATTCAGGAGGGGTGCCTAGGGTTTCCTAGTACCCCAGGCGAGGAGAGGGCCTGGGTCCACTGAGCATGTGGACCTCATGTGGATCTCAGACCCATCTAGCAGCCAGGGAGCAGGCTCTCCAGCCCAGGAAGAGAGTGGCACCCAAGTGTTTGTGAGGACATGGAAAGATCAGGGCCAAGGTCAGCCTTATAAAAAGTGAAGTGCCCAGCCTACAGGAAGCCAGGCTTTATAAACTATGAAGTTCTGGGCCTGCATGAGACAAGACTATGTAAATTGTGAAGTCCTGTGCTGGCAGGAGACGGGGCCCTATAAACTGTGAAGGTGGCCACAGCCTGGTTGATGTGATGGGTGGGAGTGGTGAAGAAGGGATATGTTCTAAGACTCATGAGGTCACTTGCCATGCAAGGAATGTTTCTTGGGCTCCTGATACATGCTGGCAACAGCATCTGGGGACATGTAGTGGGTGGGACAGACCCAGCGTGGATGTGGTTCTGTGATATATGGGGTGGACAACCTAGCCAAGGTCACCTATGTCCTGCCTAGCAGCATGGCTCATCTTGGCATGTCCTGACATGACAGTTTACACATCTGTCACCCCCAGAGCACAGATTCAGGGCTGGGGAGATGTCTTGTTTATGCACACAGCTCCCGCTCCCAGGCCCCGAGCACATGCCGGCTTGGCCTTTTCAAAGGGGACAACACTTAGTCTACTGCCTGCCACTGTCTAACTTGTTAGGAGAATCCCACCAAGCAGCCTGATCCAGAATCTGCACTATAAGGGATGGTTTCTTCACAGCATGGTGCCTCAGTTTCCCCAGCTGTAAAACTGGCAAAATCCCAGGGCACCCTTTTTGAGGGTATTTCAAGGATTAAAGAGAAATTCGTGTGAAGGATGGAGTCTGGCACATAGTAGATGTTCAATAAATATTGGCAGGGTGACAGCAGGTGGCATACAAGGGTGATAGAGTAGGCTGGGGTGGGTCTGGCGAGTCAGAACCCAGTAAAACAGACTCATTAAGGTCCCTGCTCTCCCATATGATGCCACACAAGACAACACCATGCAGGGGCAGAATCTCATGTTGGACGATCAGATAGTCTGCTCCTTGGTGGCCTGGCGGAGAAACTGAGGATGGTACGGGTCACAGGGCCGTACGTCTCACAGGCCCTATAGAATCAATTCTGGCATCTTAGAGTTAAGTCCTGGATTGCCATGTTGGGCCTAGAATCTGTTTGGAGACCACGGATCTCCTTCTGAAGAGGGTCTCTGTAGACCCAGCCTCAGTCCCTAATGTCCCCCAAGCCATACCCTGTGCCTGCATGTGTTCAGGCTTTGGGACAGTTTGAGGGGAGGAACTGGAAGCTCAATAGAGTGAGGTTAACTTGTCCAAGAGCCTAAAGGTCAGCAGGAGCTGAGCCTGGGTCGGAATCACCTCCTGACTGTACACCTACAAGGTCCCTAGTCCTCCTAGGCAAACCTGCCAGCAAATTCCACTTGAGGCATGCTGAAGTGTTTACTGAGTGTTGGCTATGCACTAGGCATTGCGCTAGGTACTTGGAGACACAGAGTCAGTAGGCAAAGGTCTGGTAGGAGAATGTTCCAGGTAGTGGGCACAGCATGTGCAAAAGCCCTGAGGCAGGACCAAGCTTGTTGAGATCAGTGACAGGTAAGCCAGTGTGGCTGGAAGGGAGTGACTCTGGGGAGACTGAGAAGGATGAAGTGTGTGGGAGCTGGGCCACAGAGGGCCTCCTGGCCATGGTGAAGAATTTGATTTTTATGTAATGGCACTGAGGAGCCACAGGAGGTTTTCTAGTAGGGGAGGGACATAGGCTGACTTGGGTATTTCTGGGATGGCAAACCCATGTGTGTCAGCTGCTCTGGGTTCATGGCCTCCTGAACCTCAGAATGTTCTGGAGTAGCTGCAATGGTCCCTGGCCCTCTGGTTAGTTGACGTGACCATATCCCCCTTGCCCCTGCAGGTCAGCGTGGGAGCCCAGCCACTGAACCATGTCAGGCCCCAGACAGCCTGCAGCGAGTCCAACCTCAGCACCCACATAGTCATGAACAGCCACAGCCATAATGGCTGTGGGGGGCGGCCACTGGGCGGTGGGCCGGGGGCCTTAGGCCGAGACCCTCTGGACCCAGAGGCCGGCCACCCCCCACAGCCCCCACACAGCCCAGGCTTCCAGGTGGTGGTGGCCAAGAACGAGCCGGGCCAGCTCTCACCTGGCAGCTCCCGGGGGCAGCCCCAGGACCAAGAAGAGGAGGAAGATGATGAGGAAGATGAGGTGGGTGGGCAGAGGGGCTCAGGGAAGCCTCCCAATGTGGGCCACCGCCTGGGCCACCGGCGGGCACTCTTCGAGAAGCGGAAGCGCCTCAGCGACTATGCCCTCATCTTCGGCATGTTTGGCATCGTTGTCATGGTGACAGAGACGGAGCTGTCCTGGGGGGTCTATACCAAGGTAGGCACAGCCCTTTTCCCTGGTATCCCAGGGAGGCCCCACTGGGCACAGCTGGCTCCCCACCGCCCCTTAGGTATGGTATAGGGGGGCACACTGGCCCCAAGAGAGGTGCATGGGAGATGCCGGGAGTCCTGGAGGTTGGGGGTTGCCACTGGGCCTACCTCCTGGGGATGGCAGGGTGGCTACAGATGGGAGTGGAGGGTCCAGCCCATTCCCCTACCAGCACCTAGAATCTGAACCCTGGCTAAAGGTGGGACAGGAGCTGTCCCCTCAAGACCGGCCCAGGACAGCAGGGAGCCTTAGAC